ATAAAATTTATTAAATAGAAAGAATAACATTCTAACACAATAGCATTAAATTATAAAATAAAATAGAAGTATAGAAGCATAACAGAGATAGGCACTTACATGAAAGCTTGAAGTAGAAGTAAGAGGCAAACATGAAAGCTCGAAGTAGAGATGAGAGGCAAACCTAAAGTACTCATAGTAAATACTTAGGTTTACAACAATCACTCAGAAATCACTCAAACTTACAACAATCACTCAGAAACGACTCAGAAACGACTCAAACTTACAACAATCACTCAGAAATCACTCGGACTTACTAAAACCTTAGCTATGATATGTAGAAAGAAATCCCAAGGTGTTCTCCTTCTGATGCATGGTTCTTCTTTTATAGAAGGGGGGATCCGCACCGACAAGGTAATATGCCTTATCCTTCACGTCAAAGAAAAAAACAAATATTCTTGTTGTTTTTTACTGTAGCAACAGTGTCGACAATAATGCTTCTTTTACTGTAGCAATAGTAATGCTTCTTTTACTGTAGTAATAGTGATTGATGTGTTGACAGTCTTCTTTTACCGTCATTTTTGGGACACGTGTCCTAAATGATGATGGAGTCGTACCGTCCCTGATATTTTATCTAATTTAGTTTGGAAAATATCCTCATACAATCATCTTCATTTGGAGGATCCAAATCTTCGGTTTCTGTATCATTTGAGGAAGTTGGTATTTTAACTTCTACTTCTTCTTCTAGGGCAAAGAGTAATTTTCTCCTGAGCTCTGCTTTTGACAAAGTGGGATTTTTCTGTTGCATTAGAGCAATGTAGTCGGAGAATAAGAGTTCGGAATTGCCTTCATACAGATTTTCTCGGATCTAGAGAATCGTTCTTATAGTTGTCCCACCATTTAATTGAAATTTTCCTTTGTAGTTCTGGAATATAATCCCACTGGTCTGAATCATCTTCAGAAATTTGGTAGGACCATTTTAAAATCCAGAGAACTTGATATAAGGCCATGAAATATATGTGATAATCTCGTTTTAGACTAACTTTATTATATTCAGAGAATTTTATCTGTGATATTTGGAATTTTTCTGGAAGTATTTGGCTTAATGATCCCCATAACAGGAACCAACTTTTAAACCAGTTTGAAAATTCTATTGGCTCAGTTATTTTAAATTGCACATACCAGCTGTGTATATTTTTTGCATTCAAGTAGGCAAAGACTTCGTCCCATGCCTTAATGTATTCAAAATAATGATAGGATTTGATTTTAAATCCTTTGGAAATTAGTGCCCTTGATTTTAAGGGATTCAAACCCCAGTCATTATAAGAGATAATCTTATGTATTTGGAATTTTGAATATGCTATTTACGAGTCATTGTTTTTATAGTGGTGTACTATTGACATCGACCCGGTTTCCATTAAAATAGCTTCATACCATTCTCTACATCTTTTTCTCATATTAGGATGTAGATGATGGTGCAGATATATGGCGGCTAATTCAACAAGATCTTTTTCCCTGTGTTTATTTTCTATTATGATTAGCGGGATATAGGCTGTATCAAGAAATGGAGTTTTATCAAGGTTTGGACTATTATAGCTCAGACGGGATTGTTGAGGAGATATTTGAATCTCTTGAGCTCGCTTTCTTATTAAAGCATTCGGATTTGATGAGGATGCCAGGGATTTTCCTAGGCTAGAACTATTTGTAGCCAGGTATTTTCTTGGATTATTATATAAAGTCAGGCCTTTTCTTAAGCTAGGGACAATATCCATCGGCTGTATTCTAGGCTGTTGGCTTATCCTTCTCCCTTGCAAAAATTCTCTAGTCACAAATTCAGGAAGATAATTATTTTTCCCTTGAATGTGTTCAATATCAAAATCAAAAGCGGAAAGAATACCTTGCCATCGAGCAAAAATTTGCTTGGCGACGAGATTTTTGACATCCTTTTCCAAAATGTCTTGGTTGATTTGCAATCAGTTCGTATGAGGAATTGTTTGTTAAGTAGGTCACTTTGAAATTTTGTGACACAATGTATTATTGTTAAGACCTCCTTTTAACAGTAGAATACTTCTATTTTACCGGATTCCAGGCTTTAGAGGTAAAGCGTATAAGTTGTTCCTCATCTAGGATTTTCTGTTTAAGGATACCTCCAAATCCTATTTCAGAAGCATCTGTTTCAATAATCTTAAAAGCTGTAGGATTGGATAGAGCTAAACAGGGTAATTCTTTAGCCTTTTGTTTTAATTTTCTGACTGCCATGGTATGCTCACTAGTCCACTCTAGAGGATCTTTTTTTAGTCTCTGGAATAAAGTTTTAGCATCTAAAGCTAAATCTTTATAAAAATTTGAAATATAATTTAGACATCCTAAAAATCTCTGTAATTCTTTTTTATCTTTTATGATGTAAGGAAATCTGGAAACAAATTCTATTGTCCTATAGGAATCAATCTTCCTTGAAAGATATTATGCCCAAGAAACCTAATTTTTGTTTTAAAAATATTTATTTTTCTTGCAGAAACAACTAGTCCAACAGTTTTTATAGCTTTTAAAAATATATTTAAATGTTTCCAATCTTGGTCAATATTATCAGAATATACGAGGACATCATCAATGTAAACAATAATGAATTTAGTATATGGATTAAAAATGTCATTCATAATATTCTGAAATTCTCAAGGGGCATTTTTTAACCCAAAAGACATTTCATTCCATTCAAAGTGCCCGACGGAACATTAAATGCTGTTTTATATTCATCTTTCTCCAAAATTTGAATTTGCCAATATCCTGAGTTTAAATCAAACTTTGAAAAAATACAGGCATTGACTAATCTATCAAGGAGGACCCTTTTATTTGGATTAACAAGGGTTTATAATTTATAACAAAGCGTGGGGTTCCCCTTTCAATCTCCAAAGCGTTTTCTACATAAAAAGCTGCACAGCTCTAGGGTGAAGAAATTTGTCTAATTAGTTTTTTGTCAAGGAGTTTTTACATTTCAGTTTTACAAATTTCTAGGAGTTTGCTATTCATTTGTATTTGCCTGCCTTTAGTTGGAATTTTCTGTTTGTTAAAGCTTGGTTCATAAGGAAGTTCCCCAATGTGTTGCTTTATATTCCAAAAAGCTTTAGGAATTTCAGCGCAAACTTCTTTTTCCAATATTGTTTTGAAGTTATTGATTTTACTTTGTATTTGTGGAGATGTTAATTTTTTATAAATAGTTTTATACTTAACCTTGTCTTTTAAATGAAAGAGAAATCTTTCTTTTGTAGAAATCGTATTTTTGATGCTATTTATTTCATGAATTCTTGGTTTATCAATAAAGTCAAATTTTACTTCATATCTTTCAATATCAGCTTTTTATCCCAGTATTGTCTATTTTAATGGGATAAAGCATATTTAAGAAGGGAGTTCCAAGTATCACAGGCTGGCTCAATCCTTTAACCATTATAAAAGGAAATTTAAAGCATGCACCATTATTACAAACTGCTGCATCAGATAGTTTATATTTTATTATCATTTTACTACCATCAGCAGTATTCAAAACTTGGCTTGTTTTGTTGAAATATTTGGTTGGAACCAATCCTTCATTTATACAGTTTAGATCGGCTACTGAATCGATAAGAGCAGTAGTTTGAAAAGTGAATTCCTTTTGTACCACTATTTTTATGATGGTAAACCATCTTTGGGTTATCACTTTATCCAGGAGGTTTACATATTTATAATCTTGTATTGTTCTTAACATATTACAGTTATTGGAAGTTTGTGGATCGTCTATTACTTGTGGGAGTGTATCTTCCATTTCGGGTGGTAACAGATTGTGATTATAATCATGCATTAGATTATTAAATTCTTCTTCAGGCTTTTTTTCTTCATTCCCACTTTCCTTTTTAGTGGCTGCTACTTCAAGAATTTGTACTCTAGTTTTTAGAGTTATTAGTTCATTCCGGACTTCATTTATTTCATTTTTTAGATCGTTAATTGTAGGTTCTTTTTGGTATTGAGTTTTATTTTGAACTCTTTTCAAAATATCACTAAAGCTGTAATCGTCATTAGTAGGAACTAGAGTTGGTTTACGAGCAAGAGGGCTTGAAGGTTCTTTGGCCATTGTTGATGTAATGAATTAAGGCTTTTCTTTTAGCCTCAGGGTCACTTATTTTATTAATTAGGTCAATTATGAGATTTTCTTCCTTGGTAAGAGTATTTAAGTTTAGGTCTTTCCAAAAATTGCACTGACAATTTATATCTTCAGAATCTGTTTCAGAGTCTGAACTAGAGAAAATCAATTCTTCATCATTTATCTCTCCGATGAGCATTTTTTCATTAGAGTCAGATGATTCTTCAGAATCATCTCTTTTAATTAAGAAGATATCAAATAATTGCTTTTTTATTTCAAGGTTTATTTCTAAAGCATTTATTTTTTTTTTCACACGACATTTATTTTTATAGTGTCCTACTTTTTTACAATTATAGCAAACTAGTATTTTTGTCATAGATAAAGAATGGGTAAAAAGGGATTTTTTGTCTGAAGAAAATAAACAAATAAGGGAATGGTTCCTCAAATAATTTAGTGATAGACTAAAACTACTCTTTCATATTAAATTCAATAAATTTATGATACAACATAAAACAAACATAATTTTTTTTAAATGGCTTAGGTATATCCTTAAAAAAGAAGGAATAAAATACTCAGAATTTCAGGATAATATTGTCCAGAATATTAATATTGTCCAAAACACCTTTCAAACCTTTCATACAGTTAAAGGAGAAAACATTGAAGCTATTCATCATCCTGAAACTAGTCTAAACCTAAAAGGAGAAAAACAAGACATAAAAGCTTCACCTTTCAAAATTGGAAGAAAAGATTCTGATAACCATATGGCTAAAATTGAAACCATACCCCATATAATAGAATAAAATAATTATACAAATCTATTCCTACAGACTATAGGGAAACAGACCAATAGAATAGAAAACGTCTTAAATAAAATAAAACCTCAAGAGACGAAAGAAGAGAAAGAAAAGAGTGCATTTTTATTCAAACAGTCTCCAAGTATTGCTGCAGGAAAATTTAACTTGCAAAGAGTTAAAAGGAAAGAAGATAATAAAGAATTGGTAGATGAGCTGATGAAAAGATTTGAAAAATTAGACATTAAAGAAAAATCAGGTAACGTTATGGGAAACAGACTAGGCCTGTAGCCCCAAAAAGAATGTATTATCTTAAGCCCACTCCTGTAGATCTACACATAGAAGATGACCTCATTACTACCTCAGTCTCCTATTTAGGACGATGTATAGTAAATTGGAATATTAATGGGATGTCTGAGAATCAAATTCTCGATCTCATGAAACATATGACTATGTATGCTACCACATGTAAAGTAAGTGGAAATCAAGACCACGAAATTGCTAAAGCCATTATATCTGGGTTTACTGAATGGCTTAGAGGATGATGGGATTTTCATATGGACGAAGAAGCAAAAAATCAAATCCTAAATGCTACTAAGCAATGGGTTGTTAAAAGTGAGGTCAGGTCCTTGAGAACATAGTTACTGATGGAGATGCAGTAAATACTCTAATATATACCATCACACTTCACTTTGTGGGGAGTACGACTCTTTTATCAGTTAGATATGAGGATCTACTTTCAAATTTTTGTTGTCCAACTCTCTCACATTTCAAATGGTATAAAGATGTATTTTATTCCAAACTACTATCCAGACAAGATAGTAAAGCTGACTATTGGAAAGAAAAATTCATTGCTGGACTTCTTCATTTAATTGGAGAAAAAATTAAAATAAGATAAAAAAATAAGCATGGTGGAATTATTCTTTATTCTTTGTATATATATCATAGTTAAGGTTTTAGTAAGTCTGAGTGATTTCTAAGTGATTGTTGTAAGTTTGAGTGATTTCTGAGTGATTGTTGTAAGAATTGTTTAGGAAAGGTATTTTTCTTCCCTTTTGAATATCTAGACTTTATCTTTCTAAATTCTCTAGAGTCTCTAAATTTCAGTTTGTGAGAAGGCTTGGAAGTAGGTATTGTATTAAAGCAGAATTGCTCACAAAAATCTCTAAATTCCTTTTTCCCCGTCATTCTTTGTTTTTCCAATTATCTTTTCAATTTTAAGTCTGTGCATAAAGCAAGACCTTTAGCACATATTTTTGCTGAAAATTATCCAAGAGTATATTATTGCTAAGACCTCCTTTTAACAGTAGAATACTTCTGTTGTGCAGGATTCCAGGCTTTAGAGGTAAATTGTATAAGTTGTTCCTCATCTAGGATTATATGTTTAAAGATACCTTCTAATCCTATTTCAAGAGCATATGTTTCAATAATATTAAAAGCTGTAGGATTGGATAAACTAATCATAAAAAGTTCTTCACCCTGGAGCTGTGCAATTTTTTATGTAAAAAAAGCTTCGGAGATTGAAAGGGGAGCCCCACGCCTTGTTATAAATTATAAACCATTGAATAAGGTTTTGAGATGGATTCGCTACCCTATTCCAAATAAAAGAGATCTCCATGATAGATTAGTCAATGCTTGTATTTTTTCAAAGTTTGATCTAAACTCAGGATATTGACAAATTCAAATTTTGGAGAAAAATAAATATAAAACAACATTTAATGTTCCTTTCGGGCACTTTAAATAGAATGTAATGCCTTTTGGGTTAAAAAAATACCCCCTTAGAATTTCAGAACATTATGAATGACATTTTTAATCCATATATTAAATTCATTATTGTCAACATTGATGATGTCCTTGTATATTCTGATAATATTGACCAACATAGGAAACATTTAAATATATTTTTAAAAGCTATACAAAATGCCGGATTAGTTGTTTCTGCAAGAAAAATAAATCTTTTTAAAACAAAAATTAGGTTTTTTGGGCATAATATCTTTCAAGGAAGGTTGATTTCTATCGATAAGACAATTGAATTTTCTTCCAGATTTCTTGACATCATAAAAGATAAAAAAGAATTACAGAGATTTTTGAGATGTCTAAATTATATTTCAAATTTTTATAAAGATTTAGCCTTAGATGCTAAAACTTTATTCTAGAGACTAAAAAAGGATCCTCCAGAGTGGACTAATGAGCATATCATGGCAGTCAAAAAATCAAAACAAAAGGCCAAAGAATTACCCTGTTAGCCCTATCCAATCCTACAGCTTTTAAGATTATTGAAACAGATGCTTCTGTAATAGGATTAGGAGGTATCCTTAAATATAAAATCCTAGATGAGGAACAACTTATACGCTTTACCTCTAAAACCTGAAAACTGGCACAATAGAAGTATTCTACTGTTAAAAAGGAGGTCTTAGCAATAATACATTGTGTCACAAAATTTCAAAGTGACCTACTTAACAAAAAATTCCTCATACGGACTGATTGCAAATCAGCCAAAGACAATTTAGAAAAGGATGTCAAAAATCTCGTCGCCAAGTAAATTTTCTCTCGATAGCAAGGTATTCTTTCCGCTTTTGATTTTGATATTGAACATATTCAAGGGAAAAATAATCATCTTCCTAACTTTGTGACTAGAGAATTTTTGCAAGGGGGAAGGAGAAGCCAACAACCTAGAATACAGCCGATGGATATTGTCCCTAGCTTAGGAAAAGGCCTGACTTTATATAATAATCCAAGAAAATACCTGGCTACAAATAGTTCTATCCCAGGAAAATCCTTGGCATCCTCATCAAATCCGAATGCTTTAATAATAAAAGCAAGCTCAAGAGATTCAAATATCTCCTCAACAATCCCCTCTGAGCTATAATAGTCCAAACCTTGATAGAACTCCATTTCTTGATACAGCCTATATCCCGCTAATCATAATAGAAAATAAACACAGGGAAAAAGATCTTGTTGAATTAGCCGCCATATATCTGCGCCATCATCTATATCCTAATATGGGAAAAAGATGTAGAGAATGGTATGAAGCTATTTTAATGGAAACCGGGTCGATGTCAATAGTACACCACTATAAAAACAATGACTCGTAAATAGCATATTCAAAATTTCAAATACATAAGATTATCTCTTATAATGACTGGGGTCTGAATCCCTTAAAATCAAGGGCACTAATTGCCAAAGGATTTAAAATCAAATCCTATCATTATTTTGAATACATTAAGGCATGGGACGAAGTCTTTACCTACCAAAATGTAAAAAATATACACAGCTGGTATGTGCAGTTTAAAATAACTGAGCCAATAGAATTTTCAAACTGGTGTAAAAGTTGGTTTTTGTTATGGGGATCATTAAGCCAAATACTTCTAAAAAAATTCCAAATATCACAGATAAAATTCTCTGAATATAATAAAGCTAGTCTAAAACGAGATTATCACATATATTTCATGACCCTATATCAAGTTCTCTGGATTTTAAAATGGTCCTACTAAATTTCTGAAGATGATTCAGACCAGGACAACTATAAGAATGATTCTCTAGATACAGGAAAAATCTGTATGAAGGCAATTCCGAACTCTTTACCAAAATCAGATATGGGATTCTCCGACTACATTGCTCTAATGCAACAAAAAAATCCTACTCTATCAAAAGCATAGCTCAGGAGAAAATTACTCTTTGCCCTGGAAGAAGTGGAAGTTAAAATACCAACTTCCTCAAACGATTCAAAAACCAAAGATTTGGATCGAATAAGGACACAGAAAAATTTGGAAAGCAGTTGAAATATATGGGTCCATTACAGACACTCGACTCAACGATCCCTAAAAGAGAGTCATTGAATCTTCTATGTCTATTATCTCTTAGAAAGAGTAAAACGAATTGTTTAATCCTTCTCTAGTTAATGGTTTTACTGCTATTTATACAAGACCTATGTGAAGATAGTTATAACCCCTTTTTATATGATCTGCAATCATTCTAGTTGAAAAGAGTTGAAAGCTATCTTGATTTTCCATAACTGAGAGAGTTTTTTCAATTTTTTTTATTGAAAAACTACTTTTAAATTCAAATGTTCCCCTTTTATAAATAGCATTTGTAGGGACCTTTGGAATATTCCAGTTTTGCAATTGTTTCTCAATATTATCTATTATTATTTCTTCTCTATTATTTACTCCTAGAGTATTATTACTAGAACTACCAGAAGCGGTTCTATTTGATACTGTTCTAAACAAATTTGCCATTTTATCTTAGTTTTCTTTCCCTGAGTCAACCGGAAACAGTCCCTGCACCTTATGGCCTTCCTGGCTCCCCGTGGTCTTTGGGTCACAGAGACTTTGGGTATGTTAACCAGATAAATGTACAAACTTGTTCAATTTTCTACTGAATAAAACTAGCTCTGATATCATAAATAGCGGAAGGGGAATCAATAT